CCTGTAAGTATGAGTAGCACCAAGGGTACCAAATTGTGAGGATATTCTAGATCTGGTTTCACTCTCTTAGCACAGACACTCATATACAGGATGTAGAGAAAGCAAGTAAAACCCTAAGACTAAAATATAAATGGAGAGTAATCATTTTTTAACAAAGACCACCCTGAAGTTAGCTGTTTCTTCCATAGGAATACCATTAATTACTACGAGATAGAAGTGTAATTCATATCAACTCATTGGCTCTCCAGTTTATAGTTTCTTCTCAGGTAATGGCTCCTGTAACGCAGTGGCCAGATTTCCTCATTATCTCCTTGTGCCCATGGCCACAGTTGATTCTAAGGCAGTTGTTCTCAAACAGGAGTGTGCATCAGAATCTCCTTGTTAAAACAGAGTTCTGGATCCCATTACCAGTGTGTCTGACCCAGCAGGTCTAGGGTGGAGCTTGAGAAGTTTCATTTCAATAAGTTCCCAGGTAATGCTGATGCTGCTTATCTAGGGAGTGCGAATTGAGAAACACTGACCTAGGAGAAGGTAACTGAGCTCTCTGTATTCTTCCAATGCATCCACCTCCTCCCATCCTCATCCCAACCCCACTTTTCACATGTTTTCCAGGTATACTTTCCACTGGTCACAAATACAATCATTTTAATAAGTACTGGAGGGGAGCTTGTCTACAGCCTGGAGAAGAAAGGAATGAAAGTGTGAGAGGGACAGCAAGGTGTTCTACAATATCAGAAGTCTGTGTGTCAAAACAAGAATAGGAAGTAGATCTTTTCAACCTGCCAATTTTGCCTCCCTCAAAGGAAGACATTTTTAACAATTTTAAAATGTCTGAAAATAGGCAGGTTTTTTTTTTTTTTTTAAAGATGATATATTGAACAAATTAATTTATCCTTGCTCCCTCTTAAATAACAACACAATGCTAGCAACTAAAGTTTTGGCATAATGTGAAGCATAAACCCTCAAGGACAAAAAGAAGGGTAGAAGGGATGATAAGAATATTGAAAATAAGAAAGCAGATAGGCAACTGTTCCAATTGGCTTCCATAGACCTGAGAATTCTGAGCTGTAAGCAGCAGAAGCTGGAGAGCAAGGGGATTTGCACGCCAGAACCCCAGACAGGTTCTGGATTCTGGAACTTCTGAATGAAGTAAAATAGGGCCTAAAAAGAGGAGTGATTGAGAATCTGTATAAAAAGCAAGAGAACTTCTAGGTCCACCCTACCCACTACATCAGGTGACGTCTTCTCCTTTGCCCTGGCATGTAGCTGGAGGTTTACCCTCAGAAGGCAGTGAATCAAAAGAGCTCTGGACTGGTGGACACCAGGCAGAGTTGGAAGAAGGGGTACTTTATAGAAAATGGTTGGGCGATTAAATGAAAGTCAACATATGGAAACTTTACATTTTAGTCTTCTTCCCCTTCTTGAGCTCCCAGAATGTTGACCTCCAAGTGTGTGCCTTCCAGATTAGTAGCATAATGCTGAGATTTTAGAAGGTATAATCTTCTAACAATCTGTAGCTATTTTCACAAAAAGATTGAGGGAGAATGGAAGGGGTTTGTGGTGCAAGAGAGGCCTGCAGAGTATGTCCAAACCGAGTTTAAAGTCAGCAATATTTACTGAGCAACTACTCTGTTCCAAATAAGCTGTGAGCTCAGATGATTCCCCAGTAAGAAAGATTCAGTGTGCCCATCCCTCATTGAACTAGATGGGAAGGCTGGAGGAAGGTACAGCACATACAGACGCAGATGGTAGAGAAAAAACACGCTGAGTTTGCGGAACCACAAACAGTTCAGTATTGTTGGCGTGGAAAGTATAGATGTGTAGGGAGCATGGGAGGGAGGGAGGGAGGCCTGAAAGATGCTGCTTTGCTTATGTCACTCTCTTTCTTTGCATGTATTATGTCTCATTTTTTATTTTTTTTCATCAACGGCTTTTTTTTTTTTGCCCAGGCTGGAGTGCAATGATGCATTCACTGCAACATCCGCCTCCCGGATTCAAGTGATTCTCCCACCTCGGCCTCCCCAGTAGCTGGGATTACAGGTGCCCGTCACCAGGCCCAGCTAATTTTTCAGCTAATTTTTTTTTTTTGATTTTTGGTTAAATACAAAGAGATAGGGTTTCATCATGTTGGCCAGGCTGGTCTCGAACTCCTGACCTCAGGTGATCCGCTTGCCTTGACCTCCCAAAGTGCTGGGATTACAGGCATGAGCCACCATGCCCGGCCAAGGGAAATTTTTTTTAAAGGTCCATGTATGTTGCTATGAAAGTAATCTAAGCCATTTCTTTGAACTCATGCCTGGTATTTTATGGTATTTTATGATGCAGCTTTACTGATTTTTACCTACTCATTCTTCTAGGCATGGTTATCAAAGTTATTTTCCATCCCTCCCCTGACTCCCCCACCACTCACTCCAAAAAAAGAAATACAGCAATTGACATCCCCAGGAATGTCCTCTGATAAACCTACGTGAGAATTGCTTGTGTTATATACCCTGGAGAAAGATTGCTGCTATGTGCATATGGAATGAGACTAAATATTGACGGTTTGTCCTCTAGGATGGCTGCCTTCCGGGTAGTCCATCATGGAAATGGTGGCCACGATATTCCACATTGCTGCTAATCTAGTTTTTTCACACAGTTTTAGATTTTTGGCTAGTGCAAATGTCATTTTCTCTGGGTCCAAAATATCATTTGCACTTCTCTAATTGCTAATGATTTTGAACACCTCTTCATAAACTTGTTAGCTTTTGAGGCTTTCTCATCTGTAAATTCACTGTTTATATCCTGTTATACCATATTTCTATTAATATTGGGGCAGCTATCTGTTTCTTCCTGATTTGCAAGAGTTTCTCATATATTTTAGATATTAAGCTCTTGTTGACTTTAGACCTTAAAGATGTATTTTTTCAATCACTCATCTATTTGTTAACTTTGTCTTCTTCAACTTTAATTATCTTCTTCATTAAGCAAAAATCCTTGTTACAATATAATCAAGTTTGTCAATTTTTTTATGGTTTGTGCTTTTGGAATTTTAGCTTTTCCATCCCTAGGTTACAGAGACATTTTTCCATATTTTCTCCTACCAACTATAGTTCATATTTAGATTTTGAATTCTTTTAGAGTCCACCTTTTGCATGTGATGTTAGGTGGGGATTCACATGTATTTGTCTCCACATAGTAAGTATATCAGGCAGATCTATCCAGAAAAATGCGTGCCATTTTTAGTGTTTAAAACAAAAGAAATTTAATGCAGGTACTTCATTACATGAATGATGGTAGATCTGGTGAGTTAACCAGGAGATGCTGAGGCAACCCAGACCTTAGCAGCAGCAAGAAGCCGCTATCACTCTTAGGCTTAATAATAAAGAACAGGAGGTGGCAATGTTATTGGAACTCGGTACTACTTGGTGGAATTGGAATCCATGCAGGAGTTTTTGGAGGGAATGGGAATGAAAAAAGAGATGCCGCTGCTGCCGTAAATGTCCTCAAATGCATGAAGAGTAGGAGAGAATAGCCTGGATTATTTCTTCCTCTTTCTTTGCAATCTGTTTCATTGCCTCTCCATTGGCCTCACTGGATGAAGGTCAGGTGACAGGAGAGACTGGGAATGTAGCCCGCAGCCTGTGATATAAAGAAGAGGAGGGCAAGAACTGTATTTGGGGTCAAACAGGCCCAGAGTCAGCACAGTGAGCTATTTCCCAACATCATCTGCTAGAAACTAGTCTTTCCCTTTGATTTATGGTGTCACCTTTGTTATAGATTAAGTCTTCAAATGTACACGAAGTCTATTTAGAGTCTGGTCTGTATTTAGATGAAGACTCTAAATAGACTTCGTGTACATTTGAAGAATTAATCTATAGACTCTAAATTGGAGTCTATTTCTAAACTCTATTCTGTTCGATTTGTCTATCTGTTCTGACGCCAATTCTATTTTCTTTTAATTACTATGGCTTGATAGCATGGCATATCTAGTAGGGGAATCCCCTTTCTTTACTCCTCTTTTTTTAAGTTGACTTAAATATTCATGGACCTTTGTTCCTCTATATAAGGCTTTAGAATATTTCCATTTTTCAGTTCTTCTGTATCTATTATTATTTTAAAGTTTTCCTCATGGAAGTCTTATGTATGTAGCAGCAGAAGAAAAAAGAAGTACAACTAGTATACTGTCTCAGAAGTGAAAAGGGTCACTTTCACTCACATTTCTAGTCAAAGTAAGTCACATAGTCACACTCAGTTTCAAGAAGATGAGGAAGTGCAATATTTCTGCTAGGAGAATTGGAAATCGTTAGTGGAAAACATTAATGGTGACCAAAATCTGCTATTCTGGTCAGCAAATATTTAGTTCACTGACCTTCTTACATGCAAAAGACAATCATGCCACCCCAAGACAGAGAGAAAACACAATAGTTCATACAGTCTGTGGAATCAGCTAAAAGTCCAGAGTAAACTAGGGGATGCTAGGTGGCCTCTTTACTAGATCTGGATGTGCCTTCTCTCACTCTGGTAATTTGTAAACTAAAAGGAAGGGTTTTCTGTGCTCCCCTCTTCACACACCTAATATACAGAGACCACAAAACCAAAGTAACTCTTCCCATTGGAAAGGAAAAAGAGGGGAGATACATAACTAGGTGCATTCTTAATGAAATGAAAACATATGTCCAACAAAAACAATTGTACATAAATGTCCCTAGCAGCATTTTCTATAATGGCCAAACATTATGTTAATGTTAATGTTTAACAAATGTTAAAAACATTATACTACGCTAAGTGAAAGAAGCCAGTCACAAAGGACCACATATTGTATGAATCCATTTATATGAAATGTAAGAATAAATGGGTGAATTGTATGGTATGTGAGTTATGTTTCCATAAAGCTCTTAAGAAAACAAGTAAACAAACAAAAACAAAACAAAACAAACAATTATTGGTCTACTGCAGTTTAAATGAGACATATTTGGCTGGAGCATGACTGCTTATATCAGAGCTGAAGACTGCCTTTCAATTGCAGGTCCTGCCTCAAGAGGTAGCCACCGAATCTCAGAAAAAGAAAAATGACCTTGAGACTTGAGACGGCATAACCTGGTGGTGAGTCTGTGTGTCATATATGCTCACTTATGGCCCCATGGACAACTGGGGTCATCTTGTCATTAAATCTCCTAGTGTCTGACTTCATTCACAAACTCCACCCTTAATTATTTCTTCTGCTGGGGATAATCTTCAGTTATAAGCACATGTTATTACTATTATTATATTTTATTTTATTAGACAAAAAATAAGTGTTTTACTGTTGAAAAATTGGGGCTAAATATGATGGTTCATGCCTGTAACCGCAGCACTTTAGGAGGCCAAGGTGGGAGGACTGCTTGAAGCCAGGAGTTTGAGACCAGTCTGGGCAACATAGCAAGACCCTGTCTCTAGAAAAATTAAAAAAAAAAAAAAGAAAGAAAGGAAGAGAAAAATTGGAAAATACTCAAAATGACAACAAAATTATTAAAAATCACTTACAACTCTGCACCTAGAAATAACTACAGTAAATCTTTCAGGATGTATTTCAGTCTCTGAAACTGAATGGCTAAGAAAATATAAACAACCTTATGACAAACAACACTCCCCTTTTTACCCCAGTGTTCTGTATTAATCTCTCTTGTAGAATTTTCTACATTTTACTATAGTTATTTTTAAGGGATTAGTAGAACAGGTGTCAATTGACTTATGTTTTAGCTCCATCTTTGACTTGCCAAATCTCTTTTTTTCTTTTTTTTTTTTTGAGATGGAGTCTCCCTCTGTCACCAGGCTGGAGTGCAGTGGCACGATCTCGGCTCACTGCAACCTCCGTCTCCCAGGTTCGAGCGATTCTCCTGCCTCAGTCTCCCAAGTAGCTGGGATTACAGGTGTGCACCACCATGCCCAGTTAATTTTTGTGGTTTTAGTAGAGATGAGGTTTCACCATGTTGGCCAGGATACTTTCGATCTCTTGACCTCATGATCCACCTGCCTCAGCCTCCCAAAGTGCTGGGATTACAGGCGTGAGCCACTGCGCCCGGCCCACTTTTTTTTTTTTTTGTAAAAAAATAGAGAAGAAATTGAAAATTATGCCAGTGGGTTTGGAGTTTCTCCTGTAAGTGATTGGGAGCCATTGAAGGATTACAAGTAGTTGAATAAATCAAAATAGTTTTTGAGAAGGTAGTTTACTTGGAAGCAATGATGCATGAATATAAGTGAATGAAAATAACATTTACAGGTAAGCTATTGTACTAAACTTATTATTTATGATATTTTACTTGATCCTTTTCGTACTATAGCATAGGGGTAATCATCCTAAGGACTAGGCTCTGGTTTTTTTATCTTGCCCAAATTCCTATCTAGGGAGTCTGTGGAGTCATGCCCTACAAACCATAAATTCTCATCAGATGTTTTTCATTTAATCCTATATATCGTGACTTACTTTCCAATATGACTCTGGCATAACATTATGTGACAAAGAAGGAAGTAAACATATTTTACTTTGTTTGCCGTTTTTTGAAATGGTCCTGCAAAGCTGTCCTTTGTAGGGGAAAATGTGCATCTGTAAAGAATCTCTGTTAACATACCTAGATATTTTTCTTCCAGGCCTCCCAATCCTGAAGCAATTAAGTAAGAGTCTAGCACCTTTTAAAGGTCTGAATAAAAAGCATTTGTCATCTATTGTCTCTAAGGGCAGCTACTATATGACTTCAAAAGAACCTTGGTCTCCACAATCTTTTATCTTAACCTGAACATTTCCTTTCTATTGATCCCAGGTCTTTAGACAAGTTCATCCAATTGTCAATCAGAAAATGTTTAAATTTACCTGTAGCCTGGAAGCCCCCCATCCCCTGCCCTTTGATTTGTTCTGCCTTTCTGAACCAAACCAATGTATTTCTTAAATGTATTTGATTGATGTCTCATACTTCCCTGAGGTTTTATACCATGCTTGGTATAAAACCAAGCTGCACCCCACCCACCTTGGGCACATATTCTCAGGACCTCCTGAGGGCTGTGTCAGAGGCCATGGTCACTCATATTTGGCTCTGAATAAATCTCTTCAAGTTTTACAGAGTTTGACTGTTTTCATCCACAATCCCCAAGCTAGAGATAAGAAATTTGAAACTCGACTGAGTTAAGCAATGTGTTCAAGGACACACAGCTAATAAGTGTTAGAGTAGGAAATTAAATCTAGCATGCTCAACTAACTGATTTCTTTCTAGACACAGAGGTTGGCTCAAGAGGTATTTCAGCAGTCTGGGTGGGCTCTGTTCCTATTGCATAATGAGAAGTTATAATAGAATGTTTAGCAAGCTGCATTGTTGAAACAGCAGATGGGTTGATGGCTGTTCCCAGGGGTTTTTCCCTATTACTCATACACGGTTGGGAAATCCTGAGGAAAGCTCAGCTTTTATTTCTTGAAATTTAAGGTCCTGACACTCTGTGGTGATTGCAGACAGAGATCTGCGTCGTTGACAACAAAGAGATTAAAGGAGGGACCTTGGGTAAGTCCCTTTGTCCCTGGACCTCAGTTTTCTTAACCACAAACAATTAAATGATCTCTGAAGTTTTCTTTTGTTTTAAGACTCAAGGATAATACTGAGTGCCTAATGTAACGTGAAGTTCTAGGTAGAGGCTTAATGATAGCGTTACTCATTTACAGGGATTAAACAGAATGTCCACAAAGAACTGGTTGAAAATAGGCTGCAGAAATGGCACAGAAGATATGTGTTCTTAATTACTCAACTTTTATGCATTTTATGCACTAGACTGTAAAATTCAGGTAGGGGTGGGCTGTATGCTTGTTCATCCTACATCTTAGGGGCCATCACTAGTGTCTTGTAGGTAGGGACCCAAAGAGTTTTGTTGAAAGAAAGAACAAATAATGCAGAAAGCCTGCCTGTCCCCCCGTATTTGTTCTTCACTTCTTCCTCAATAATGTACCACCTAGAATTACCTGGTTACAGTCGTGCAGAACAGACTTCATTTCCCAGACTTCCTTGCAGCTAGATGTGCTCATGCTATTGAATTCTGACCAATGGGATGTAAATAGAATTAATGTTGACTTTTTTTTTTCCCCCCAGGAAATAATCTTAGAGTGAGAGGACATAATTTTCTCCTTCCAATTTCCCCTTCTGGCTAAGATAAAATGGATAAATGGGTAAGATATTTGGAACTTGAATCACAAAATGGAGTTACATGTTGAGAATAGCAGTGCAATGAGAAGCATGGTGTCTAGGCTATCTGACAATAGTCAAGCCTCTGTGCAGGCTTTTAACTGTGTATGTAAACATAAGCACGAGAGACAGATATGTTTCTATTTTGTTTAAAACACCTCTATTTTTGGTTTACAAATTGTTGTAGCTGAACTTAATACATGGGAACATTTTCAAAAGAGGGCTGGGCACAGTGGCTCACTTCTGTAATTCCGGCATTGGGAGACAGAGTTGGGATGATTGTTTAAGGCCAGGAGTTTGAGGCCAACTTGGGCAACATAGTGAAATCCTGTCTCTACAAAAGATTTAAAAATTAGCTGACATGGTTGTGTATGCCTGTAGACCCCGCTACTTGGGAGGCTGAAGCAGGAGGATCACTTGAGCCCAAGAGGTTGAGGCTGCAGTGAGCTGTTATTGCACTGCTGCATGCCAGCCAGGGTGACAGAATGATACAGTCTCAAAAACAAAAAAGACAAAAAAAAAAAAAAAAGCGTACACAACTTTCATAATTTTTCTTTCAAGAACAGCTAATAAAAATATTTTGAGCATGCCTACCATAAACTTCACAATCACATACGGTAGATTTGATTTTGGGTGATGATCAGGGAGTGCCTACCTAGTTGGCCGTTAGTTAATTTTTGTATAAATACAGGGTTTGCTTGATCAATAACTTGAATATTTTATACTAAGTGTCTAAACTAATCTTTTTATTTTCACTGAAAACTTTTATATTTCCATTTGTTTACGTGAGGTTGTTAATATAAAACCAATTTATTTTTGTGAATGGAGTGAGGATGAAATCTATTTTTTCTTGAAAAAAGGGATAGCTCATTATTCCAAACCATTTAATTTATAGCATGTATATGCATATTTTTGCTGCTGATTTAAAATATACATTTATCAAATGTTAACTACTTATATAAACATTAATATTTGAAGGACAATGGCTAGGAATTTTATGAATTTCATAAAAAATGTAAATTCACGGATCCAAGATACTCAATAAACCTCAAGCCAAAATAACACAAAGAAAGCCACACAAAAAACCCATATTAATTAAATTCCTGAAAACAAGTGATGAAGAGAAAAATCTTAAAAATAGAAAAAATATGTATAAAGAAACAAATATACAAATTTAATTTCCCCTTAGAAACTACGTATTTCAGAAGAATGGAGAAACATCTTTAAAGTACTAAAAGAAAGAAATTATAAACCTAAAATTGTATATCTGACCAAAACATTATTCAAAATTAAAGGCAAAATAAATTTTTTTTCTAGGGGGGAAAAAAAAACCCAGAAAATTTGTGGCTAGGAGACCTGCATAACAAGAAATGTTTTTTAAAAATGTCAGTCCTTAAATGGAAGGAAAAAAAGTGATGAAAACTTGGATCTACACACAAAAATAAAAAGCTTCAGACATGGTAAATATAAAATAATTTTTTATTTGTTAGATTTATATACTTCTTAAAAATAATTGATTGTTTAAAGCAAAAAATCATGCCAATATATTGAGAATTTTAGCCTATGAAAGAATAAGTTGTATAATAAAATAGCTCAAGGTTTATTAGGGAGTGAATACTGTTGCAAGGTTTTAAATTCATATGTGAAGTGATATAATGTTAATTAAAAGTAGATTGGATGAAATTAAGTTGCATGTTATGAACCCCAGTAAACAAAGCAATAAACAAAAAAGTGTAGTTTATAAGTCAATAGTGGATTTAAAATAGAAAGATAGAAAATACACAATTAACCTAAAAAAAGGTAGGAAAGAAGAAAAAGGGGAAGAAAGAGCATATGGTACAAATTCCAAACATATAACAAAAAGATAAGTTTAAACCCAATTATGTCAATAATTATATTGAATATAAATAGTCTAAACACTCCCATCTCTGCCTTTTAGCAGAGATTTCAAACTGGATAAAACGCAAGACCAACTATATGCTGCCTATAAGGAAACTATTTATAAATATACAGATAAGTTAAAATGAAAAGTATTGAAAAAGATACAATATGCACATACCAATCATAAGAAAGGTGGACTGGATATATTAATATCAGATAATGTAGAATTCAAAGGAAGGAATATTATCGGACTAAAGAGGGATATTTTATAATGATGTGAACATCAAGAAAACGTAACCACCTAATTTGTACCCAATTAACAGAGCTTTAAAATACATGAAACAAAAATGAACACAACTCGAAGAAGAATTAGACAAATTCACAATTATTTTTGTAGTCTCCAACATTCCTTTTCAAGTAATTGACAAAAAAAGACAGAAAATCACCAAATATAGAATTGAACAATATCAACCAAATTAATCTAATTGACATTAATAATAGAACTCTCCACCCAACAACTGTGGAATTCACATTCTTTGAAGAGCTCATGAAACATTTTCTAAGGTAAGCTGTAGGTTGGACCATGAAATAATTCTCAATAAATTTAAAAGAACTAAAATCAGGCAGTGTAAGAGTATATTATGTGTCAGTGGTAGATTTAAATTAGAAATCAATAACAAAATGATAATACCCAAATAATTGGAAATTAAACGGCACACTTCTAAACAATCCATGGGTCCCAAAAGATGATACAAAGGAAACTAGAAAATATTTTGATTTGTAACTTAGAATTTTATCTATAAATGTTAACATTAGAAAAGAAAAAAATTAAAAATTAATCTAAGCTTCTACCTTTAAGCACTGTGATTGCTGCTTCTCTTAAATTTTGATATGTTGTGTTTCATTATCATTTCATTCAAAATGCGTTCTAGTTTCAATTGAATAATCGAAACGATATTACATGTTGTGAGGAGTGACAGAGATCAATGTCACCCTTAGAGACCTAAAGGACACAGGTTTGGTGGTCTCCATCATATCTACATTAATTTATCAGGTGGTTCCTTACAAAATCCAGGTGGTTTCTGGAGAATGACACACAGTACTACAAACTCAGCATAGTAGGAAACTTTATTTCAGCTGTTAAACAAGATGTTGCATGTTTAATAGAATAAATTAACAAAGTCCGATATATGGCATGTAGCCACTGGTGTGACAAACGCGTTCTTTTCCATTCCTGTTAGAAGAGGAATGAAATGCAGTTTGTATTCACTTGGAACATAAAACAGTATATGTTTAGTCTTGCCCCAGGGCTGTATTAACTCTTTTGACCTCTGTCATAATGTAAGTCTGAGGAAATCTGAACCATCTGGACATTAGAAAAAATATTGCACTGGTGTATTTATGATGTCATGATAATTGGGCAATATAAGCAAGAACTGTTAAGTGCACTAGAGGGGCGATAAGACAGGCACTGCAGGGAGTAGGACATAAATCCCATGAGGATTCACAGTCCCACTACATCAAAAAAATTCTTACAGGTCTAATTTCTTGAGTGTGCTCAGACATTCCCTCCAAAATATAGTTAGAATGATTGCATCTCATACTTACCACCACAAAGAAGAAAACATATCTGCCCTCTTTGGGTTTTGGAGGCAATATATTCCACACTGGGAATATTACTGCTGACTGCTAAAAAAGGTTTCTAGGTTTGAGGGGAGCTTGCAGCTAGAAAGTGCTCTATAGCAGGTCTAGATTTTGGTGCAAGTGACCCTGATGCTTGGACCATAAACCCCAGCAAGCTTTATAGTATTAGAGACATGGCAGGAAAAGACTCTGAGTGGAGTTATTCGGCAAACTTCATAGGAGAATCATGGTGTAGCACAACTATGCCATTTGCAATGGAGAATTACACTCCTAGAAAGACAGTTCCTGTTTTTCTACTTGGAAGCCCATGTAGAGATAGTATACTTTACTGTGGGTCAAGTGACCTTGTGGCCAGCACTGTCATCATGAAATGAGGTCCTGATTTCTGTCAGACTCATCAAGTTATAAGGTTGTGTGGACCCAGTAGCAATCAATTGTAAGGCAGAAATAGTAAGTCTGGGATAATAAGTACTAAGGCCTGAGTCTACCTACACATAAGCTACACAAACATGTGACTCAGATCCCCATACATCTACCTTCATTGCAGTAGCATCTCTCCCTTAGTTTATACCTATGGATGCAGAAGGGCAGGTGGATGGTGATGAGGAAGTCTCTTATGATAAGCTCAGGAAAGAAGCAGAAATCTCGTCTTACTTTTCTGATGGGTTGGCTTGGTACACAGAAGCAAGCTAAGACAGACAACAACTGCATTATACCCTCACCCAGGAATGGCCTTAGAAAACAGCAGTGGGGGAAAAGCCTCTCACTGTGAAGAGTTTTGAAAACCTGTCATCTACTTTTTAATGGAAACAGAAGTGACTCAAGTTTCAAATACTTATAGACTCGTGGGCAGTAGGAATGGCTTGGATAGTTGGCTAGGGTCCAGGAAGGAGAAACGTTGGAAGATAAACATGGAGTGGAATCATGAGGCTGAAACTATGGGGATGGCAGGAAATAAGAAGATTTTTGTATTACATGTAAAACCAAGTAGAAGACTCAGGAGGTTGGTGTCAGTAGCCTGTCACTAGCCATTTCAATGCTGGCACAATGGGTTTATGATAGAAATAACCATGGTGGCAGGGAAGGAAGTTATACACAAGTCCAGCTGCACGAGCTTCTGCTTACCAAGATAAATCGAGCTACAGCCATTGCTCAATGTTCAACCTGCTAGCAAAAGAGAACAATGCTGAGACATGGCACCATCCCTCGATGACACTAATTCTCCAACGGATGGCAATTGACTACATTGGATTTCTTTTTTTTTCTTTTCTTTTCTTTTTTTTTTTTCAGAGATGGAGTCTTGCTCTGTTGCCCAGGCTGGAGTGCAGTGGTGCAATCTTGGCTCACTGCAAGCTCCGCTTCCTGGGTTCACGCCATTCTCCTGGCTCAGTCTCCTAAGTAGCTGGGACTACAGGCGCCCACCACCACGCCTGGCTAATTTTTTGTATTTTTAGTAGAAACGGGATTTCACTGTAGCCACGATGGTCTCGATCTCTTAGCCTCGTGATCCGCCTGCCTCAGCCTCCCAAAGTGCTGGGATTACAGGCGTGAGCCACTGCGCCTGGCTGACTACATTGGATTTCTTCCACCTTGAAAGGACCAGTGATTCATTTAGACAGGAATGGCACATATTTCAGTTGCAGCCTTGTTTTTCTTGCCTGTAGGACCTCAGCTGGTATCATCATCTGGGTACTTACAGCTTGTTTGGTCCATTGCCACAGGATCCCATATAACATTGTATCAGACCAAGGGACCCACTTTATAGCAGGAAAGGCATAGTAAATTTACTTGTCATATCACATTCTACCCCATACAGAAACTGCCAACATAATAGAGTCACAGAATGGCTTGTTGAAGAAATAGCTTAGGCACTATCATCTTCCAAGATGCAGTGTGTGGCCTAAATCAATTACTTTTATATGTCACTGTGTCCTCAATAGGTAGAATACATGGATTGGTAATTAAGGGAGTGGAATTGGGAGTATCTTCACTTGGAGCATTTTGCTTCCCATTCTGGTGAATCTGAATTGTGACTGTTTAGAGGTCTTGGTTTCCAGAGGGGAATGCTTTCAAATGAACATAGGGGAAGACTCATTGAATTATATATTACAACCGTTTCCAGGGCATGTTGAACTCCTTGTACCAAGGCACCATCAGGCAAGATGAGGAGTCACCATCCTGATAGTGGTAACTAATCCTGATCATAAGGTAGAGGTATGGCTGCTGTTATTCAATGGAGGTAAGAAGGAATGTTTGCTATCCAGATAATCCACTTTGGCATCCTCTTAGTGTTCCTTTGCCTTATCTTGACAGGAAAGGGACAAGTGTAGAAGTCACTATCTAAGCAGGGCCTGGTGACCATGGCCTCAGACTTTAGGAATGAGAATCTAGGTCATGTCATCAGATTATCTACCAAGACTAGCCGCTATTCTAGCTGAGGATGAGGGAGACCTAGAATGCATAGAAAACTGGGCATGAATATCATGTAAAGCCCCACTACAAACTGTATTGTGGTAGGGTATGGTTTTCCCACAACCTTCTAGATCCTGAAGAAATGCTTCCCAAACTAATATGAAGATGTGGATCCAAGAGGCAAAAGCAGTGGACTCTGGTGGGTGCTGTGATATGCTGCCCAGCTCTCCTTTCAGAACGGAAGGACTTATTTACTCAGAAGCCAAGAATCCTGCTGAATGACAGAACTCACCAGTCAGCCATCTCCAGAGATTGCCCTCAGCAGGAAAGAACTGCCCTACCCCAGATCACACTGCCTTCCCAGGAGTAGATTGCATCCAATGACTGGTTAAGGTGGGAATCTAAAGTCATGGCCCCCTTGCTGCAATGCTGGACAACTTTCAAGGTTCATTCCAGTTTTAGAGAGCTTGAGGCCTTGGTTGAGAGTGCATGAG